TCATTACAACTTTCTTCTATGATTGGTGCCTCTATTTTGCCAACTTCCTCTTGTACCATCATTTTTACCATATCGTCATTGCAGTTTTTTATTTCCTCTCTAACAATCTCCTTGACTTTATCCTCGTCACATTTATTTTCAACTGTTTTTTCAAGTGATGTAATTCTTTCCTCATAACTCTCCATTATCTGTTTGCACCTTCTTTCTATTTCAATATCGGTGACTGCATGTTGTTCCATGACTATTCTGCATTTCCCACAAAACCACATTGCATCTGTTTTACATAGCATGCTGTATTCCGCTTTTGTTTTCTTTAGACAGGTTATGCAGAAATGTTCCTTACACCTTTGGCATTCCATAAGTTGAGCCTTTGGCTCCCTGAAGATTTTGGTACATTTTGCGCATGTCCATGCTTCATCCTCATCTTGACTTGTTTTTTGTGACGATTTGGGGCCTGTGGTACTGTTTTTTCTGGTTGACGCCATACTTCTTAATTAATAAAAATAGGGCTTCTCTATTTTTTTTTTTTTTTATTATTATTTTTTTTTTTACCTGGCTGAGGAATTGTATAAGGCTTCCTTACACCAATTTAATTTGTAGTTCTTTATTTTATTCTACTTTTATTTAAAGAACAGGGGTTCCCTATCCTTGATTGTTGAATTTCAGACGAAGCTAGACTATCCTAATTGTATTTTGATTTAAAGGACAAGGCTACCCTATCCTTGTCTAAAATTCGATTTCAAATGAAGCTAGACTATCCTAATTTTGACAGGGCTTCCCTATCACGTGTTTAATTTATTTCGGGACAAGGCTTCCCCATCCGTTTGACATAGACTGCACTCTCAAATGATAGAAATAGGGCTTCCCTGTTTCCTCAATAACTATCTCTCTTTACTTATTTTTCAGGACAAGGATTCCTTATCCTCCTAAATTTTTAGCACTGACCTTTTTCTTAAAAAAAACAAGGCTTCCTTTGTTTTTATTTCTCCTTGTTGTATATATTCCATTCCCTTACTCAGAAGACAAGGCTTCCTTGTTTTCTGTTCCCGTTTTAAATAAAACTAGGCTTACCTCTACGTAATAGGGCTTCCCTATTACTTAAAATTTTTTTTTAATTATTATTTCTCTGTTAGAATATTCTTTTTTGCTTTAAATTTGAAGACGAGGCTTCCTTGTCTATGGAACTGAAATACCTATCTATAGAGTCAATATTTCACTTCGTTATGTACAGAACAGGGCTTCCCTATTCTGTCTTGCCTCCCCAATAATTAATATGCCCAGACAAGGCTTCCCTATCTGGGTTTATTATATATATATATAATAATAACAGTTTCCTTTTACTTTATGCAACTGAAACAGGGCTTCCCTATTTCAGTCACTCCTCCTTAACAGGTTTCAGACACTTCTAGGGACAGCTCCACCATTTTGTAAACCCATAATTTAGCTAGTGATCTATTTGGATGGATGCCGTCTGACAATAACTTATAGTTTTTCCTGTACCTCACCCTGGTTTTGTTTTTGGGTTTGTTCGATATTATTTGGTCTTGTGAAAATCTGGGTGCTCTATACTTCTTGAGTAATTTTAATTGACTATTGTAGTAGTCTACTTGGTAGCACAATTCTTTATCCATGCTACTTGCTTGTGTTACTGATCTAAACCCTTTTGACTTATCAATAACTAATGCCGGGTAGTGCCTCTTGTTTCTTTCCTTTTTTGTTACAATTCTGGTACCACTATACTGTTTCACTACTAAGGAGTAGTTTGTTGGTTTTTTCTGATTGTTGTTTTGTTCTAATATGTCTTTATTTTTCTTCCCTTCTCTGATTGTTTTATTAAATGTGGAGATTGAATAATATGGGCATTCAAGAAAGATTATTTTGACATATTTAAATCTTGTAAGTATCTTGTCTCTTAGTTCTCTATAGCCTGTTAGTATTGACTCTATATTTTGATAGGGGTAATTTCTTAGGTATGTGTATTTTCCCTTTGTGGTAATCTCACAAGTTCCAAACCAGATAAGAATGATTGGGTCTTTTTGTTTCAGTTCTTCTAGTTTTGCAAAGAGGTTTTTTAAGTGTTCATCAGTGGTGGCTGTAGTTCCGCTCTTGGCTACTATGTGGAACTTGCCACGGACGCTGTCTGGGACCACTTTATCTACACTGAACCCCTTGCTGTCCGTGAAAAGCACGGTTTCTCTTGAATGGCCCTGCCTTTTAAATAGGTTATAAACCCTTTTGTATTCTTTTATTAACTTGTTCAATGACATGAATTTCTATTGTTTATGCAATGTCAAAATTCGGATATTCAAAATTTCAATTTAAAAAAAAAAAAAAAAATCTAATATGGCGGCAACAGGCCTAGTGTCAATGCACAATTTTCAAAGAGGATTTTTCACTATTCGTCACTAATTAATCCATATTTACATTTATATACAGTTATTTATGACTTATTTACTGAGAATATTTGACTTATTTGACAACTGACTCACAAAAACACACAGAAAACTTATCTTTTTTTGACTTTTTGCAGGAGCAGAAAAATCTTGACCATGCCGACCGGAAGTCACGTGATCACGTCTGAATATATGTCCCTGCAACCGATCAGAAAATTGTTTTACGTTGACAAAAGGTCTAAAAGTACGTTAAATGATGCCAAGGAATTGTATATTTAGATATACAATTACTTGATGATGCTTAATAGCTAGTAGATATTTGTCTTTTAAAATACAACTGTCATGTAAGAGTCTTAATGAAGCATTGTGGATAAATGTATTGGTTTTCAAATCTAAATTGACAGCGCAGTCGTATCTAAAAATGGCTTCCACTTTCACGATTGCAAATTAAATCAAATCAAATAAAATCAAACTTTTATTGCCATATAAACCAACTTATACGATTTGTGACAAAAACAACATTAACTTAATGACAAGAAAAAAGCATGTATAATCATATTAAACAAACTAATGAAAATAGTTCAAAATTCAATTATGAGTCCCCTATCCTTAGTGCCAATGACTTTTTAATAAAGGAACCTATGCTTTCTACCTGTTTTTGTGTTGATGGGCAAAGAATATTTATCATTTTTTCATTTTCATTGAGGCTATCAAAATTTTCTTTACTTTTAGCCTTTGTTAATTTTTCAATAAAAACTGGTCTAATGGAAGCGTTTTTCCTGCAATACAAAAGAAAATGTTTTTCATCCTCAATTGTATTGCAGGACTGACACAACCTGTTTTCCCTAGGGATTTTTAGGTGTCTCCCTTTTTCTATTAATAAATTATGATCACTTAATCTTAATTTAGTGATATTACGTCTATTTTCAAATATATTAGAGTTCAGATATGTTTCTATTTTATTACTTTGTTTTAATGTTTTATATAATAGAAGTTTACTGCTATTATCTATTTTCTCAAATTTATGTTTATATAATTTTTCATAATGATTAAGGAGTTTAACTTTTAATTCAGTTTTAAGTGTTTTTATTTGATTTAGATTCTTACACTCCTCAATATGTTTAAAATCTACATTTGCTTCCTTTGCAATGTTTTTTATATACGTAAACCATGTGTAACATCCTGCTGAGTCTAGATTCTTTGATAGAGTGAAAGCCTCATATAATAAGGGATTTATACAATTATTTAGAAGTCTTGTTAAATATAGTAAACTTTGGACCTTTATTTTTAATTCAAATGGATAGCGACTTAATTCTTTTCTAATTGCTAAATTTGATGCATTTTTTCGTGTTCCCAAAATATATTTACAAAATGATAATGAAGTTTTTCAAAACAAGTTTTATCAGTAAAATCAAGAAAGTCAATTTTTTTATGGGATACATTTGCCCTCTGGACAGCTCTATATAATGTTATATATGTATCCATAAAAGTAACCTCTGAATTATATGTAGCAATTGGTTCCACCATAGTATTAAACAAACTACATGCTACTTTAATAGGGATATTATTTAAAGAACCAGTATAGGATTTAATAGCAAACATTACCTTTTTCGCCTTTTTTACTAGTTCTTCAGAGCTATGATTAAAATTGCCATTACATTTAATAAGAATACCTAAAAATTTATATTCTGAAACATTTATCAAATTTATATCTTTATATTTAACAAAAGATTGTTCTAATTTAATGTTTTTGTTTTGCACAATCATAGTTTTAGTTTTGTTAACATTTAGTGTAAGTTGCCAGGTGTCACAATATTCTTCTAAATTATTTAAGCTATTTTGCAAACCTTGTTTATTTTCTGAAAGTATAAGTAGATCATCTGCAAACATAAGACAATTTACCTCAGAAGAAACTAATTTTAAAGGATAATTATCATTTTTTGAGAGTTCACTTTCAATATCATTTATAAAAAGATTAAACAAAGAGGGGCTTAAAGAATCTCCTTGTTTCACCCCTCTTGATATTTCAAAAAAGTCTGAGTGCTGATTCTGCACTTTGATAGACGATTTAGTGTTAACATATTGTTGTTTAATAATATTATAAAAAAATTTACCAACTCCTAGGTTATAAAGTTTATAAAGGAGGGCTTTTCTCCATACGGAGTCAAAGGCCTTCCTTAGATCTACAAAGCATGCATATATTTTCTTTTTATTTTTATGTAAATATTTATTTATTAATGATTTTAATACAAAGACACTGTCAGAAGTCCTATGATTTTTACGAAAACCAAATTAAAAACAATTTAGTGGCGTAATGGGGAGATAATTTTGACGAAGTAGAATCCTGACTGTAACCGTGAGATCCAGGTCCGAAGCTGGTAAACGGGTCGAAACAACCTAATATATATATTTATAACAGAAATGAATAGGATGAAAGGGGTCATTTTCTGTGACAAACTATATTATAAGTTTGGAAGGTTCTCTCAACCATTTCGAAGTTTCTCAAACAGTATAATGAAGAAGAATTCTACAGGTTATCTGTAAGTTATTGTGGAAATGAAATTGTTAGGAAGATCAGAGACATATATATATATGTCTCTGGGAAGATGTATAAAAACTACCAATGTACCTAATTTTAAATCGAGGCTTTAAGTCTACGCTGTTGAAAAATTATGCAAAAAGTGTAAGACCCATCATGCAAGTACAAAGTCAATCATTCAATACGTAGTCCAGCCCTTTTATCGTATTTGAGAACTCTGACATTGTCACAATTGTCCCCAGGTACATGTAATCTACCCGGTAGCTTGTACCATTGAGAGTTATGGAGGGCAAGCTGGACTCGGTGACAACAGAAAAAAGAAATGACAATAAGTCACTTGTGCTCAATAAAACACATTTTCAAGTGCACAGGTTCTACATGTTGAAACTGTTTGTATAAAGCTTTATATTTCAGAAGGGAGATCTGGATGCTTCAACCTTGTAGGCACTGGCTATGCTCATGTTGAAAACGTACATGTAGGTCTAATCTGGGAACAGTATATCTAACGGGAAATGAATCTGATACGCTTTTCAGTATAAAATTGATAAAATCTCGGACTCCCCGAGACTTCCCAAGATTTACGGATTTTGGTAGCGTCTGACTGAAAAACTATCAGAACTGCTCAACAAATAAACCACATAACTCTAATTGTAAATAAATACAAGTTTTATCATTTAGTAGATATATTTTGTCATATAGAATTACCAAAATAAGTTTGATTTATTTGATGTGAAGTGTTTTATAATAGTTTGGGAATTTGTAAATCATCGCGGCAATGGCCGCCATTTTTTTATTACCTGGTTTGCATTCTGCATAATTCTGTGATGAAATGCTTGCGATTTTAACAAATTTGAAGTGACAGAATACAAGTTTGATACACTAGCATCACTATAAAACTAGTTTGAATGACATTTTATTGATAATATCAGAAATTATTAGGATAATAGCGAGTCCGTTTTTAACACATGTCCGTTTCTGTATCGTATCTTTATTAACTATGGCACGACGATAAAATCGACTACAATCAGGTAGTGTCAAGTCCCGTCAATATATATGTTCCTGGTCTAATAAGGGAGCTACCATTTGATTTTTGTGGGGGGGGGGGGGGCTAGGATGAAATTTGGAAAAAAATAGGCAGGACAGGAGTTTTGAGTAAAAAAAAAGGTAGGATGAGACACTTGCAAAAAAAAAAGTCAGGATAAACTAAAAAAAAAAAGGCAGGACCGATTAGAGTGAAAAATAAAAAGGCAGGACAGAGATTACAGCTTAAAAAAAATGCAGGACAAAATTTTTCATCCTAGCCCCCCCCCCCCCCCCCCCCCCCCCACCCCCCCCCCCCCCCCCCAGCCAATAGACCACTTTCGAGTTATGTCCTTCACTGGAAAAGTTCGTCAGTTATGCGCACCTTTATGATGTCATTTACCAGATAGAGTGGATCGCCTGTATCCCTGCACTATTAAAGTTCATCAAGCGTAATTCGTGATCGTCATTATGCAGGATAAACTAGAAATAATGTATGTTCTGTATGTACTAAATCACAATTCCCTAATGACAGCAGTGCTGATTATCAATTATATAAATTTAATTTGCCGAATAATTCGTGCAATATATAGCACCATTTTTTTTTAACCGCTCGCTCAACATGGGAAGGAAGTGATGATACCCCCAAAGGCAAGAATGATGTTCATTAAAACCAAAGTTTTGAAGGAAATGCAAGGAACTCGAAAGTGGTCTATTAATTACGAACGTAACAATAATATTTTTGTCTATAGTTACGTTGTGTTATTGTAATATATATATAGTAACGTCCCATATGTATGTACTACATTTTGTGTATATTGAAATACAACTTGAAAACTTTTATTCATAAATAATTCAATGATACGATATTGCATACAGATAATTTGTGTATTTTATTGACAATGGCAGCTTCGCGTTTTTGGTAGCCATGGCAAACGAATGATGCCGCAATGTGCACGTGGATTTTGCACACTCAACAGTTCCACTCTGCAATTTATGTCATCTTTTATTATTATTTCATTTCTGTCGATTACCGATGTTATTTTCAGGTCGGCTTTTAATATGCAATTCAAGAGCATGTCTGATTTGGAAAAAAAAACATAAAAATAAGAGTCAAGAACTATTTGTGAAGGCAATTGATTTTGGTGTTCGTAACCCAACCTAGCATTCTGGCAATTAGTGTCCAACATAACAATAACTTTTTTGTTATTGTTACGTTTCAAGGTAATTGTAGCCAGTGCCTACGTAGTATGCAGCTACTTTATATTAAGTAGTTTCCGGCTGTCATATGTCCATTGTCCTTGACCTCATATTCATGGTTCAGTGACTGCTTGAAAAAAAGTATATTTTTTTGTCGTGAAGTTTCTCACTTATTATGAGTATATTGCAATAGGATAACTATATTTGGTATATGGGAACCTTGCAAAGTCTCCATGTCAGTCAGACCTTGGACTAATACTTTTATCTATTACATTGTAGGCCCAGGTCGGACAGGGTTCACCTCAACCTCATTTTATGGATCAGTATTCAAGGTTAAATTTTCATAGTCAAGTCTGTATTATGTATCTCAGATACTACAAGCAATAGGTCAAGTAAATATGGTGTATGGAAATATTGTAAGGTGTACCATTCTGTCTAGCAGGGTTCATATGACCTTGAACTCCTGTTATATCATGGGAAATGGGGCCATAAGTGTATTCGGAATTACTACAATTACATGACGTTGGTGTATTTTCACTGATATTTACATCTTTACAGACTTGGCTATAATTAAACACAAATTTCCGGGTAGATTTCTTGTAAATATAACAAATAAGAGGGAGTATGGATACAAATTAAAACTTCAACTTGATTGAATTTTGTTCTTTCTGAAAATGTGCATGCTAAAGCACTGGTACATTTACATTTAACATAATGTTTTTTTACTGCAACTTACTTTTATGTTATTTTATGGCAGAAGAATACCAAAAGAGTTCATGGAGCGTACAGATTGGCAGCTTTTATCAGCTGATAACAAGAAAGTTGAAGCCACTATGAGACACCCTGGTCTTGAATTTAGAGATTATGACAAAACAGGTAAATATGTAAAAATATGCAAATAAAAAATGAAAACAAAATGAGTCTGAAGCACTTTTCTGAATTTACTTTCATCGTGAATGCACAAAGCCAATGATGTTTAAGAACCAAAAAGGACAAAAAGATAATAGCCAAATCCATCTAAGGTCAACTTTGTCTGAGGAAGTCGAAACCTTAGTTTCTTAAAAATTTAAAAATTTTAATTTAGTTTATCCATTGGTTTCCAGTTGATAATGTTTATACTGCTTGGCCAAATCTTTTGAAACTTTATAAGGGGACGACCATTTGATATTCTGGGGGGGGGGGGGGGGAGGGGGGGCAGGAGGATTTTGAAAATAAATAACCCAGCCTTGATAATAACAAAAATGAATGGTTTGTTCTGTGGTAGTTTGAAAATAAATGACCTGACCTACAATGTATTGAAATAAATAACTCAGCAGGTCTTTTAAGCCATTTTATAAATGCTATTCTAAAGTATGAAATGGCACCATATTCTTCCAAAATTCGTCTTTTTTCATATTTTTTTTTCGGGAAAAACTTCCCAAATCTTTTATAATACAATGTATAAATATCAATGTACTTGAAATGTCTGAAAATGGGTTTCAATTAACTAGAGGTATATTAACTCAGGAACATTTACCTCACTTTCATAAGAGGGCTGTAACTAAATTGAGGCAAATGCCTCAGGTAGGAAATTTCAAAAACAAAAGCTTGTCTTCATATCAAATTGTTTTTACTTCGAATGCCTTGCAAGAAGCAAGTTCTGTTCACCCTCTGACATAGCCCCTGTTTTTCAAGATCCATGTTTCTCATTTAATTATAGTTTTCAGTGTTATTTGTCTATAATGTTTGTGGTTTTGTGTTTTATCTGTTCCAGGGTTTGTCTTTTGTTCATTGATTGCCCTTCTTTATTCTCTTAGTGTTGCATTCCATTTGTAATTTAGTAATTTTTTTTAAACTTGAGTTTTATTTTATTTAAGGACTTTTTATCTAATTTTACAAACTACATGAATTTCAAATTGTATCTCAGTTAGGAACTACATCAAGTTGTAATTGAAATGTGTTATAGAAACTTACTTGACATAGTTTATCAATGATAATCAGCCCCTCTTAACTTAATTTGAGAAAAAAAACACATAATTGACAGGCATATTAAAAAAAATTTCTGCAAGCCAAAACACTATAAAAAAAAAAGCAGCCACATACTTAAGTTTGTGAATTACACTTTTTGCTTTATCCTACATATTGGTCTTTTGATGTTGTCCCTAAAAACTAAAAGTCTTACACTGAATCTATATTATTTGCTTTGAGACAAAAATATTGTCGAAAAAATAATTAACAGAACTTGCATTTCAGATTAAGAAAGGATCTGGGAAACGCGCAGAATGCACGATTTTGCATCATTTTTCGATACCTTCTTGGGGCCTTCAGCGGCCCCCAAAACCTTCGCCGAATTTTTTTGCCTCGCTCCGCTCGGCAAATATGTTTGACATTACTTTTAAAAGAGGCTTAGTTACAGCCCCACATTAATACCTTGTACGTATGCAATAAATGCAGTTGGGAATTCAGAAAATTCACTTCCACAGATTTAATTCTGATTAAATGGTACATAATTATTTGACTATACATTTATTATCTATTTAGGAATAAAAAAAAAATTAAAAATTGTGTGTTTTCAAATATTATAAATATAATTGTGAAAATAAATAATCAGTCCCTTGTTTTAATGAAAATGAAAAATCATGCTTCAATAGTGCAGAAAATAGATAATCTCTTCTTCTAGTTCACAAAAATAAATAACCGATCCAAAACAAATCCTCCTGGCCCCCACCAGAATATCAAATGGTCGTCCCCTAAACACAATATTATGGACTATAAATACAGGTCAAGTTTGAATTTGATGGTTTTCAGGCTTTGTCATTTACCAAGTCAGGAATATGACAGTTGTTATCCATTCGTTTGATGTGCTTGAGCTTTTGATTTTGCCATTTGATTAGGGACTTTCCTTTTTTGAATTTTCCTCGGAGTTCAGTATTTTTGTGATTTTACTTTTTACCCTTCAAGAGTTATGCCCCTAAGTTGAATACATTAAAATGTTAACTTTTTTAAATTTTGTGATGATAAATAAATTACCTTTTGACCAAATCTTTTGAAAAATAAATACAGTGTCATGGACAATAAAATATAGGTCTACTTCAATTTTGATGATTTTTGAGGACAAAGTTTTATTATTGCAAAAAATGCAACAGTATCAGGTTAACAATAATAAAAATTTGCATGCATAATTTTAGTAGTGATTTTCCTTTACAAAATGTTTGCAATTGAAATTAGTTCTAACATTTTTACCAGTAATCAGCAATGATAAATGTATGCATTAATTTCTGAATTACAGTACCTTAAAACTATGATTTTTTTCTAGCATCTTTGCTTTACAGGTGATAATGAAAGTACCATTTTACAAAATCTTTTTAGAATCGACACAAACTCTCTTATCTTTTTTCCAGTGAACAGCATTAACCAAATACTTAAATTAATAGTCAGATGATTCAGATTGTATATATGGCATAGATTTGATCGATGTACCAAAAGTACATTTTAGCACTTTGTTTTATAGGTAAACCAAAGTTATGGGAAATGATGAGTTTATGTTCTTCATCTCGTGTGTACATGCATCATGTTGCAATAGATGATGTTGGAAGCACTTTTCGAGACTTCAAAGACTTAACAAAAGATCACATGACTTTCCTTGTAACTAGTCAACTGACTTTTTCAAAAGCATTATACAACATGTCCATTCTGAATAATCCTTTGTTTATAAAAGTACAAGGTGGTTATATAGGAAACACTTCTTTAAATGCTCTTACAACTGTAAGCTTGGATGAAAACAGCACAGAATTAATGTCAAACTTAAATCAAGTTGTGTATATTGATCCAGAAACAAGAAAACCAACTCCATTACCAAGTTGGTGGAAAGAAAAATATGCTGAATCTTCCAAAGAGAAATCATCACTGATAATAGACAAATTTAAAAGACCATTAAAAACAGGTCGTCAAAGATTTCAGGTCACTTGGACATATACAGACGGCTATGAGCATGCAAATTGGACAAGTTATGCACGATATGCAGTTGACAGTGCACATCTTTGTAGCAAAGAAGGAATATTAAAGAATTTTGAGGAAAATATAAAAAATGGTGTTTCAAACATTCAGTTGCACTACTATGGAGAATCAGTACAGGGTGATTATTTAGACATTTATACTTGGGAAGATTCAGAGGACTCAAAAAAACTTTATTTTGATATAAGCAAAGATGAAAAATCTATATTTCAGTGTATCATGTATTTCTTTTGATAGTGTAATATTTGCATTACCTTACCGACTTACAAAAATCTGGTAATAAAATTGTACTTAGAATTGCTATTATTGCCTATTTAATATATTTTTAATGAAGTTTTAGCTTTCATGACAAAAAAGCCACTGAAAGAATTTGGCATTACTTGTAGAAAAAACATGAACCCTACCATAAATGGAGGGGATTTCAGGTGCTCCTTAGGGGTAAGTTGATCCAGCTCACCTATTTGCACCTGTCAAGTTGCTCAAGTTAAAATCTGGTGACAAGTTATTTAATTTGTAATTATCATTTGAGGAACCTCTGGATTAATTTTAAGAAATGAGGATATCCTTTTTAGATAAAGATTATTTATTATTTATATATATAGAAGCCATTTACAAATGTATGTTTTTAATTCAACTTTGAACGCATTAAATATGTTAAGAGAGTAAGGCAGGCGCGTAGCTGCCTTTACACAAAAAATCATTTGCTTGCACATTTTTTTCACAAAAAAAAAAAGTCTGATATTCTGATAGTCTTTAGTCTTTACAGATTATCGTGTCGGTAACTACATCAACTACTGAACGGTCATTTATTGCATTACGGCGACTGAAAACTTATCTCCGTTCAACCATGGTATGGTGTACCATTTGGTTCAAAAGGTATTTTTATCGATTAACCGCTATTTATATACCGGTTAACCGCTATTTTTATCGGTAAACCGCTATTCAATGTCGGTTAATCGCTATTTTTATCGGTTAACCGCTATATATTTGTCGGTTAACAGCTAATTTTATCGGTTAACCGCATTTTTTATCGGTTAACCGCTATTTTTATCGGTTAATCGCTATTAATTTATCGGTTAACCGCTATTAATTTATTGGTTAATCGCTATTTTTATCGGTTAACCGCTATTTTTTATTGTAAGTCACTTCTAATTTATCGTCTATGAACAAAACAACTAATTATTAGAAATAAGTAAGTGATTGATGGAGGAATTTTATCGCTTAACCTGTTTCAACAGTAATTTGAATTGCTGACTCCTCCCATGTTGGTCAATTATTCCCACCCAACTTAAAGAATTGTTTGACGAACGCCCACTTGTTTCGAGCGTTTAGCACGTGGCAATATCATAGCACATAGCACTATATAGCACGTCAGCAATCTTTATTTTATTTATGACAAAACGTATTGCTTTGCGTGAATTAATCACCAAAGAATGGATTAATTTACCTCTCAGATTCCCATCTTCTCCCGCCCTCACCTCCTTTTTTATATTTACGCCGACAAAACAACGCGGTAGACGCTTTCCTGGTGATGGAATTTACAATTTCTACCTCTTTATTCCTAAATATCATAATTTCTAGATCGATTCGTGATTTATTGTTTTTTGTTTGTTCATTCTCTTTATAAAACATTGAAAACAATATTATGCACTGGTTGTTTTTGGCTTACTAAGCATCTTTAACGCTTCCACAAGATACCAAATGACACAGAAATTAACAACTATTATAATAGGTCACCGTAAGGCCTTCAACAATGAGAAAAGCCCATACCGCATAGTCAGCTAGAAAAGGCCTCGAAATGACAAATGTAAAAATGTTCAAACGAGAAAACTGACGACCTAATTTATGTACAAAATAATGAACGAAAAACAAATATGTAACAGCAACAAAAGACAACCACTGAATTACAAGCTCCTGACTTGGGAGAGGCAGATACAGAATGTGGTTGGGTTAAACTAGAATACATTTTCCAGAAAATTTATGAATACCGGTAGCTTTTTTCTTGAAAATGTATCACTTGATTTTTTATGAAGCGGTTTTTATACGACCGCAAAAATTAAAAATTTTTTGGTCGTATATTGGTATGACGTTGGCGTCGTCGTCGGCGTCGTCCGGCGTCGTCCGAAGACACATTGGTTTTCGCACTCTAACTTTAGTTTAAGTGAATGGATCTCCATGAAATTTTACCATAAGGTTCAATACCATGATAGGAAGGCTGGGATTGATTTTGGGGGTTATGGTACCAACAGTTAAGGAATTAGGGGCCAAAAAGGGGCCAAAAACAAGCATTTTTGTAACTTCCAGACAATAACTTGTGTGTAAGTGTATGGATCTCTCTGACATTGTACCACAAGGTTCCATATCACAAAGGGAAGGCTGTAATTGATTTTGGGGGTAATTGCCTCCAAATTTTAGGAATAAGGGGCCAAAAAAGGGGCAAAAAACAAGCATTTTTCTAGTTTCATGACAATAACTTGTGTGTAAGTGTTTGGATATTTCTGAAATTGTACTACAAGGTTCCATATCACAAAGGGAAAGCTGGGTTTGAGTTTGGGGGTAATTGCCCTAATTGTTTAGGAATTTGGGGCCCAAAAGGGGCCGAAAATAAGCATTTTTCTAGTTTCCAGACAATAACTTGTGTTCAAGTGTATGGATCTCTCTGAAATTGTACTGCAAGGTACCATACCACAAAGGGAAGGCTGGGATTGAGTTTGGGGGTGATGAATCATAAGGGGGTTCAAAAAATTTGGGGGGGGGATTTTTTTTCTTTTTTTTTTTTCCTTTTTTTTTCTTTTAAAATTTTCCATTTTAAGTTGGTTATTTTTTATTTATATTTAAAAGCAAATAATAATGATATGGTAGGAGATACACACCAAACAGGATGTGTAAATTATTATATAATATGTATTGTGCAATAGCAAGAAATTTTCAATAGCACAGTATTGCACAATAGCAAGAAATCTTCAATTGCACAGTATTGCGCAATAGCAAGAAATCTTCAATTGCACAGTATTGCGCAATAGCAAGAAATATCCAATAGCACAATATTGCGCAATAGTAAGAAATTGTCAATTGTACAGTATTGCGCAATAGCAAGAAATATTCAATTGCACAGTATTGTGCAAAAGAAGATACTTCTTATAAATTGCTTATTTCTTGATCAATTTCAATGGGGTTTTATTCTTGAATTCTTGGGGTTCTTTAATATGCTGAATCTAACTGTGTATTAAGTTTTTGGATTTTGGGACCCGTTTTTTAATTGGTCCACATTGAGGTCCAAAGGGTCCAAAATTTAACTTTGTTTGATTTCATCAAAAATTGAATTATTGGGGTTGTTTGATATGCCGAATCTAACCATGTATTTAGATTCTTAATTTTTGGTTCCGTTTTCAAATTGGTCTACATTAAGGTCCAAAGGGTCCAAAATTAAACTTAGTTTGATTTTAACAAAAATTGAATATATAGGGTTCTTTGATATGCTGAATCTAACCATGAATTTAGATTTTTTATTTGTGGACCCTGCTATCAAATTGGTTCATATTGAGGTCAAAAGGGTCCAAAATTAAACTTTGTTTGATTTCATCAAAAATTGAATTATTGGGGTTCTTTGATATGCCAAATCGAACCGTGTATTTAGATTTTTAATTTTGGGTCCTGTTTTTTAAATTGGTCTACATTAAGGTCCAAAGGTTCCAAAATTAAACTTAGTTTGATTTTAACAAAAATTGAATTCTTGGGGTTCTTTGATATGCTGAATCTAAACATGTGTTTAGATTTTTGATTATGGGCCCAGTTTTCAAGTTTGTTCAAGTTGGGGTCCAAAATTAAACTTTGTTTGAATTCAACAAAAATTGAATATATGGGGTTCTTTGATATGCTGAATCTAACCATGTATTTTGATTTTGGACATTGGACCATAATAGGTAAATTGAAAAAATTCAAGTTCTTAGACCACATTCTTTCTGTGTCAGAAACCTATGCTGTGTCAAATATTTAATCACAATCCAAATTCAGAGCTGTATCAAGCTTGAATGTTGTGTCCATACTTGCCCCAACTGTTCAGGGTTCGACCTCTGCGGTCGTATCAAGCTGCGCCCAGCGAAGCATTTTATTTGTTTAGGTAAAACACATTTTACTATCACATGAACCCAGAATCCTTCATGTGATGATATAAAACTAAAACCATATGCTGTGACCTATAAGAGTATAGTAGTTATTCGTGTCGTTGGATTGCTGTCTAAATGACATATACCATTGTTTCTAATGATACATGCAGAAAAGTCTAAAAAGAATGCTCACAGAATTATGAGAATAAAATGTTTCTTTGGAAATGGTTAAGATATATTATAAACCAAAAAACATTGGATGGCAATAAAATAGATGCATGGAATGTGCCACGGGATTTTACAATACATTTTATGGCACAAGTAACACGATACCGAATGGCATATCTCCCTATTTCTAAAATATTTTGCACACTTTGAATTTGATCCGAGTTATTTTGGAATATGAAATACAAAATGGGGGTCACCATTTTTGTTTTCTTGTAATTTTCATAGGAAAACTTCAATTTTGGTGGCATAGGACAATGATCACTTTAGGCCAAATATAGCCCTGAATTTCAGCTTTATCGTAAAATTTCAAAATCATGGATCTGTTTTTAAAAGATTTACTTTCTTGGTAAAAGACATCTCTTCATAAGAGTGCATTCTTTGCTTCAAAATCAGCACATTTTTTATATTTTGTCAAAATAGGATGATTTTGTGAATTTCGGAAAATTCCGGACCTATAAGCTTGAGAAAACCCTTGGCTGCAACCTAGGATTCAAAATGTTCTGTAACCAATTGTTGCCAATGATGATATTGAATCCCTAGACACAAAACTTTCTGAATTTGTATGGTGGCCAAAGTAAATGATGCAAAAACATGTTAAGAATTATTGACCAAATCAAATAAAGAATACTTTTTAAAGAGTCAATACTTCGTCATATGTAATATGATGTGCCAAATTGAAGTCATTCCTTAAATAAAAGTAATATCATGACTATTTCTATGTGATCTGTGTAGTATTATGGCCTGATTAAAAAAAAACCATCAAAATCTTACGGCCAATGTTAAACCTTCGTGAACTTACATGGATATAATAAGGAAAAAGCCTTTTTCGACATACAGTGGAGATCACTTTTAACCTCTCATTAGAACTGTCAGAATAATCTGTTATAGAACTGTTCTAAACTGTCCTAGAACAGTTCTACCTAGAAAAGTTCTACCCTACCCTACCCATTTGCGCCACAAACCATATTT